GGTGGCCTTCCCTTCCAACTTCTGCCACTGTTTCCCCCAATCCCCGTTCCCCGCCGTGTGTCACCCCCTGTCGTGTCTCACTACTCCTCTGCTGTGTGTCACCCACTGCTATGTCACCCCCCACCCTGTGCGTCCCAACTACCCTTTGACCTCTTGTTCCCTGTCATGTATCCCCTCCCTCCTCCTGTGTGTCCCCCACTGCCCTCTGTACCCCCTTCTCCCTGTTCTCCCCCGGATAAAAGCTTTTTCCAATGTGGATTGTTAATGTTGGGTTGGTTTTTTGGGTTTTTTTTTTGGTACTTTAGCAAAAAGACAGAAAATCTAAAAAGTCGACCTGGAAGTTTTGCCTTGACCTGACCCATCCTGTGGAAGATGGAATCTTTGACTCTGGGAATTTTGTAAGTTGTAGTCATGCTCATACTTGTGGTGCATAGTGTGATAAAAGCCTTAATGTAATGCAGTCGCTATACAGTTAAATACAGCTGAAAAGTTAAGTTTCAGATTGGTGAAATCAGCAGCTGTTCTTTAAAAGAAGTTACATGGATGTCTTTTATAGCCAGATGGTTCATATGTGTCCATGAATAGAACTGTCTTAAATTCTGTTCAGGTGATTTTTGTAATTACATGCTATAAAATCTGTCTGCATTGTAAATATTTTGTATCAGGGCATAAGCAAACTGTGTGTTTAACATTGCTACATGGCTAGGGTCCCTTCCCTAGTTCATACCTAGGGTGCCATTCCCTAGTGTTCTATTGCCTTAATGTTGAAACAGGAGCAGTTCCTAAAGGAGAAGGTTAAGGTCAATGGAAAGACTGGAAACTTGGGGAACACTGTTCACATTGAACGTCTGAAGAACAAGATCACAGTGACATCTGAGAAGCAATTTTCCAAAAGGTTGGCACTGGTTTCCTTCTGTTGTGTTTGTGATAGAGGGTTTTGAACTGTCCTGTGTTGAACATAAAATCAGAGAGTCATTTAGGTCGGAAAAGATCTTCAGATCATCAAGTCGAGACATAAACCTGACACTGCCAAATCCACCACTAAACCAGGTCCCTAAAAATGCACATTAATATTCAGTTCTTGTCTGCAGAAGAAACTTCAATTAATGCACTTCTGATACTTACAGAGGTGTTAGCTCTAACCTTCATAGCACTTGTAAATATTAGTGAAACACTTAATTATAGCAGATTTTATCATATTAGGTATTTTAAAACCTGCTTTTTAAAACTCAGGGCTTGATTGCAAATTGATGCTCTGAGCATGTTCATACAGAGATACTTTACATATAGGTTGTTAGAAGTGTATTGGGGGAAGGTGAACCTGTCACAGTCAGACTGAATTCAGGTCACAAGTGGCTGTTCGATTACTTGACTGTGTTAAAATGTATGTGTGCAATATGTGTTGTTGCAAAAGAACCTCTAAAGTCCAAGGAAGCCTTAAAGTGCTTTGTTAGGACACAGAACAGGTGAGTGCAGTGATGGTACAGGTCCTTCCCTGCATCTGATGGAGGTTCACCAGTATCTCTTATGTTAGATCAAGGTTTAGAACCCCTTATCAATGCTTTGAGTTACTGGCATTTTGCTATATAGTCAAAAACCATCAAATAATAAATTCTTATGATGAAAATATCCTTTTATTGCCTGTTGTATATGCTAATTTTCTGTCTCTGGGTATAGTTACTGGGTTGTTGCCCTGCTAGAGCTATGTCTTGGGTGGAGTGCAGGCAGCAGCAAGGGTTGTTCAGTGAGAAGGTTGTAATGTGAAATTCCTGTGTTTAAGGTACCTCAAATACCTCACCAAGAAGTACCTCAAGAAGAACAACCTTCGGGATTGGCTCCGTGTCGTTGCCTCTGACAAGGAGACGTACGAACTGCGCTACTTCCAGATCAGCCAGGACGAGGAGGGATCAGAGTCTGAGGAATAATGGGATCTTGGCTTCATACTCAACACAGAGTACAAAAGACTAGAACACCTATTTATAACAACACTTAACTTATTGGTGAATAAAGAGTTTTGTACCCTGTTGGACAGAGCATGGTTAGTTTTGTAGTATTTTTCTTAAAGTCTAATTAAAAACCGGAACAGGGAATTGTTAGATTTGCAGTTTTCCTTCCACTGCCAGAAAGGACCAGTGAAAATCCCAGTAGGAAGAAACAGCCCTTTGCCCAGTACAAGTGTAGGATGGTTACATCAATTTTGAATCATATTGGTGCAAATAATGTTCGAGGTTTTTGTGCCTGAAAGTACCAGCTCCTTTTGCTAACTTGTGTGGAGCTAACAGCATCATATTTAATAAAAGGTTACTTTTAATTATTTTACAACAACAACAACAGCTTTACAAGCTGTAAATATTTTGTACCTGTGTGATTTACCTAGTGCAGTAATTGGTGGTAGTGTTCCTGTGTATAACCACAAGGGAAACTGGAGTATAACAAAGATCTGTTAGCCAGGTTTTGTATTGGTAAGATGGAGACACGTCTCATTCCCAGCATCCAGTTGAAAATATTTCAAGGAAAGCAGTGAGATGTCCTTTAATATTAACATTGACCGAATCCCATAAAATCCATGTGCAGGTTTTCACTTTTATGATGTATTTTGCCTTGTGTTTGACTGCCGGGATTATTTCTTTAAAACAGGTATGTCTTTTAGTACTCGTGGTAGGTTCTTCATTGAAACACAAATCATTGCAGATCCTATTCAGTAACTCAATCCAGTTCTTCAAGTAACATCAGGAGAGATTGGATGGGATTTTGCTGTGAAAAAGTATTTGTGAGCCTGCAGTTGCAGTGACTGTTGCATGCAGATGCATTTCAGTGCTCTCCAGGTGATTAATTTACTCTGTTTCCAGCGCATTGAGGAACTCTGGAATAATTAATGCCATATTTGCTTAATACCACAAAGCAGGGATGCATGTAGCCTTTGTGCTGGTTTAGTCTGAAGTGTGCCTACTAAATCGTTCGATTTCCTGATGATTTTATGATGTCAGCATTGTTTTTGCTGGCAAACCTCTGGGACAGACTAGAGAGCTGCCAAAGCACAAAGCAATGCATTAACAGTCAAATAACACTCTTGTGCTACCTAAATCTAAATGAGAAGTACTGAAGGGGAGATGAATTTTATCAACAGCCTTTGGGGTCTCATTTGTCATTTTTCAATGTACTTGAGCCGCTGTTGCTGAAGTGTGGCCCAGGGAAAGGAAGCAGCATTGGAACAACAGCCACTTGTGTCATCTCTGCCTTTGTTGGTTTGTTTCGTGTTGCTGTTCCAGAGGTAGCTAAAGGAAGGGAGCAGTGTGTGTACCTGGCTGCAAGACAGGATGTGTGGGACTTTGTATGCGTCAGTGGAAATAAAATGCCACAAGTCCTGTACTGGATAGTTCTACCTTGGAATTTGCTATTGGAGAAAAACCAGGCAGTGTAGAAGCAATAATTAAAAGTGGTTTTGTTCTTACTTTTCTGGAAATCCCAGAGATTGCTAATGCTGTTACAAAGCATTCACAGTATTGTAGTTAATCCTGTGTTGAACAATCTGCGTTTTCCACAGCAAAGCTGCAAGTATTTGTAAAACCGATCTGTTTGCTTTGCAAAGGGCATGACTAACAGTTGTATTTCAAAACATCCCCACCTGGTGTCTCAGAGCTGTGCTTTTATGTGACAGTATATCCTTTACACCACACTGACACAACAAACCTGTTCTGATTAAATGGAACAAGCACAACCAAAATTGGAGCTAATGGGATCACACTGCCTTGTTATCCATCCTTTCAAAGCAGGCTGGCAGGTACAGACTGTTGTGAGTCAGGAGGTGGGAAAACAAGGCCTGAGATTGCAAGCAAAGCAACTTGTTTCATAGCTGAGTTTGGAGGAAAACTGCCAAAGTCCTTGTGAGAGTTTAATCATTCTCTGAGCTTGACTGCAGTGAGGATGGAACCTAGGACTTCCTTTCTGTGATGCTTGAAAATATGGGTAAGCTTTGAAAAACCAAAATTCTGATAACTAATAACTGTGGGTCTAGAGTACTTACTAAATTCAGGAAAATACTTACACATTTAGGAAAATATATTTAGATAGCAGCCAGTCATTTCTGTTTTGTTCCTGTGTTGCTGCCAAGCTCTGCTGGCCGTACCCAGAGCCTCCCGTCCCGCTCTGCTCTACATGTGGCTGGTACAGCTCTCCTGTGCAGGTAGGAGCTTTATCAGGTCATGGTGCACCATGTGTTAGGCACAGAAAACACAAAGAGAGGTTTTAAATTTAAATTAAGCGGTTACAGTTCGATTATTAATAGCTTCAGGGATATAACCAGTCGAGGTGCACAGATAAACTGACCCCAGCAAAGTTTCAGTAAATAGGGTGATTCTTCCCTAATTTCATGCCTTTCACAGCTGAAGAGGCCAGGTGTGATGGAGGTGGCAGGCAGGAAACAGCCTGTTATTGTTCGAATGCAAATTAGCCAGATTAGAATCGAAGCAGCTTTTTTAAAAGCCAGAGGTCAGTGTTTCTGTGATCTTTGGGTGAAGTCTTAACTCACCGAAACTGCAGCCCTGCCCTGCTGGGAGCTGCCAGGTACCTTCCTCAGGGACCTGGCATGCCAGTTGGGTTTCTTTTCCTGCTAGAATCTGCTCTAAAAATTACCAGTTTTGTTAATCTTTTGTTTTGAAAGTGAAAAGATCCTGAACTGCTTGAAAACGGGCAGGACTGACTGTTGGAATTTTCCATATTTAGTGCTGGAAAAGAGCCCAGCAAAGCCCTGCTCGATGGAGGGATGGGCTCTCCTCGGAGCTGCAGGGATGTGCACTCCTGCATCAGCCACAGGATGAAGCTGTTGGGAAAAATAATACTCCCACGGTATGAAAACTTCGCAGGTGACAGGAGCTGCTGCCAAATTCAGTCCCTGTGGCTCCACAGTAACACGCTCCAGTCTCAGATGATGCTTTGGGATTCCCAGATGGGATAAGCACAGACTCCAGCAGGACTAAGTGCTTTGGAGCACTGCTTTGCCTCCACCCAGCTGAGAGCCCTGGTCCAACAAGCCAAAAGTTTAATTTGGAGAGAGGAGTAATCGCTGCAAAGCACCAGTTGCACTGGTAGCACAGCAGATGGGCCAGGGCAGCCAGCTCAGGGCTCAGGAGGCTAATTGCACTGGAACTCTGCAAGACTTTAATATAGCCAAATTTTTGCATATATAAATATGTAAAAATATATTCTATGTTATATAGAATCATTAAGGTTGGAAAAGATCTCTAAGATCGAGTCCAACCATTAAGCTAACATACATAAATACATATTTTTATATATATATATATTCTCCCCCTTTCATTTTTCAGTAAATGCTTTTTCCCTTCATGCCTCAAAAAATGTTTTTGCTGCTCTCTCCCAAACAAAATCAGTTTATGACAGACATCCCACACATGTAAAATTCCAGTGTCTGTCAAATAAAACGAAGAACCAGAGATTTCTAAGCACAAGTGGCTGTTGCCAGAGCAGCAGTAGCAGCACCACATAGGCTATTTATGTATGAGCATACAGAGATGTTATTTTTCTGCACCACCAGTCTCTATCACTTTTGCTGCAGCAAAACTCTCAGATTTCCATTAGAAAAACAACAACAAACCCTACAGAATTTCACCAATTTTAAGCATCACTAGTAAAGTTACTTCTTAATGTACCTGTTTGCTTTGTCTGCTTGGCCTCCTGGTCCATAGCCCCATCAGAAAACAGCTTTATTAAGCACCTAGAAAAAGTGAGAGCAAAAATAAAGAGGTAAATAATGCAGGAAATATCTGAAAAATATGTTGAGGCACTCATGTATACAAAGACCATCATGTGACAGGTATTAAAGGAGGTCCAGACTCAACATAGTCACAGCACATCATCACAAAGTAATTAGAAACAGAGAGGGCCATGGAAAAATAAATACCCAGTAATAGCCTGGATGTACCCACCAGCAGGAAATGAGCTTCAGCACTGGAGTGATCTGATTACACCAAATGCAGGCAAAAATGAGGAACAATTGTTTCTTTCTAAAGGCAAAAATAAAGATTTCTTATTGAGCAGATCAGAAGGTATCGAATGCCTCCTTGCCCTGCCCCTGTTGTGATGCTCTGTTGGGTTTCCACCTCGCTCCATCCTGGTGTCCTGGTTTTCTGATCAGCAGCACACCAACACCAGTTACAAAAGTGCTCAGACCTCATGGAAGTGAGTGGTTTTCCTTCCAAAGCCCAGGCACAGTGTCCTGCATCCCATGGCACCAGAAAGGCAGGCAGTGAGGTCATTTTGTGTACTTATATGTATAATATAGACATGTAATCTACACACAATATATACATATAATCTCTATATACATATAACCTACATGTCTATATGTATAACATATACATATAATTACATGTAATCTATAGTAGACATAACATATATACATAAAATCTAATCTGTGCATAATATTTACATGTAGTCTATAATCTACATATATTCTACACACATACAGTTTAGACCTAAGGCTCTGGGGCTGCTCCAGCTGTCCTGGCAGGGTAACCACAGGGCCATGGTGTGGGCACCTGCCCTGTGGGCAGCACAGGGCTGCAGGGCTCAGCAGGGATTCATCCTATTTCAGCATCTAAATCCAGCTGGCACATCCTGTTGGTAGCTGCTGGATTGCTGCCCAAGTGTCCCCTGGACAGAGGAATACCTGAATTCCCATGGCATAATTCCCATGGTACATTTTGCACAGGATACTGGCATAAAATCCCTTTTAGGTTTGCCTTGGCTGCTGTTTGAACCCTAATTCATGCTAGAGCAATGCTGTCACCAACAATGCTGTTGCAGAGCACAAACCGTAGGTGGGAGGAGTGGCCAGGGATAACGGGGACAATGACTACAGCACACTCAAACACCCCTCAGGCAGGATCCCACGGAGCCTTCCTGGAGGGGATTGAGTGTTGTTGCTAAGGAGGGTGTTTCTGTAACCGAGCCTGGAAACTGCCCTCAACAGCTTTTTGCACCTGAATCCCTTTGCTCTGGGCATTAATAAACTCACA